CATAAGGATCTGATGTAGCAGAATGAAGAGGAAGTCCAGTTTGCAACAAATAGATTGCAGTATTGTCCAATTCAGTTCTCTTGCTTGAATCTACTTTTGGTTTACATGGAGAGATCATGTTAATCTCATTTTAATTCCACTTCTCGTTGTGTTTTTTTTTGGCTTTTATTGCATTAGTTAAAAATGTTTAATTGGTGAGTCGAGTCCAGGTGAAGAGCTTTGATAATTCGGAGAGTTCTCTTTGTACTTTGAACAAACTGATTCTGCAGTTCTTTAACTCCTCCAGATTAAGTGGGTACTATTTACCGCTAATCTAATTAGTAAAATCCTGTAATTGCTGAAGGCACTTCCCCATCTCACAGCCAGTAAATTCTGGCATTCTTTTTTCAAAATTATAAAGCAAATTTTGCCACTTACATATGGACAAAGATAAAGAGAAATCATCTTTAAAAATTCCATGGATTAAAATATAATTTATTCATCTGAGGGAATTTTGCCCTTATTTTGGAAAATACATTTACACTTTAAAAGTCAGTACTCAGTTTCCTACCTGTCCATGTATTTATCCAGGTGTATACCACGATGACTGGAAGCTATCCCCAGGAGTAGGGACTGATTGGTTCTACAAACATCAAACGAGAGAAATTCACTCAGATCCATCAGCTGGTCATTCCTCTGGCTGCGATCTTACTTCTCTTTAGCTCATTTTGTTGAGTTTCAGGAAGGGGTTCCCCCTGTGAAGCCTTACATGTTTCTTTGCCCCATCATCTCAAACTCATTTCATTACCTACGTCAGTCCTATGGCATTCCTCACACCCAACACTAGCCCGATTCTGCTACTGACTCTCTAGTCTGTGCCATTGTTAAACAGCCATTGAGCACCCAGACATGCTCTGTCAGTCTGGAGCTGTGTAGTCCATGACACTTACCCCAGTAGTGGCAGACATGGACAACCACCTGGAGGTGCTGGTGAACAGGCCACTTCCTGCAGGATGGGCAGAAGAGGCCGTGCCATTTGACCCTGTGAGGCAGCTCAGTGCAGTCTCAGCTGCCTGGAGAAATGCCCAGCACTCTAGGAAGGAGGTCAATGACCTTCTCCACTCTATCTGTGCCACTGCACCCGGCACCCAACAAGGTTTATGCTCTCCCACTCTCACTATGCCTACAACATCTACCTTCACTCACGGTCTCTCACCCTCCATCTGAATTTTGCATGCCCTCTGTGCTGCCTACTCACTCACTCAGGGCACCTCACCTCCCTTTCCTACTAGCACCAGCACTAATAGCAGTGCCAACCCATTTCATCTCACTTCATCCCTCCCTTTCTCTCACTTTAAGAGAGAACAGCCCTCAATAGAGCAGAAAGAGCCAAGACAGGTGCTGGGCTGCCTAACATTTGCCTCCACACCCACAACGAGAAGGGGAACCTGACCCCTCCCTGTCCCCAGTGACTCACTGACTGTGCCCAAGCCTCCGGGCTCATATCAGAGGCTGCCCTCGACTTCCTGTGCCAGGAACCCTTGGCTCAAGGCATCGCCCTGGGCAACTGAGAACTGCTGACAACCATGAGAATCTTCCTAGCTTTGTGTCTGTGCTAAATGACAAGGCAAGACAGCAGTAGTGTAAGCCTGATAGCACTGGCTGCGGGCTGTAGCACAGTGGAGAGGAGGGGCGTGACATGAGCAAGTGAGATGCCCTGAGGTATGGCTTGGTCCCAGGGAGTTGGGTACAGGCCTTGTGTGCAGCAAAGTGTCCTTGCAGCAGAGTTTCAGTAACCAGGCACTGGTCAGCACCAAAGAGCAGCTTTAACGTGCAGTTGTGACCTGTCAATGGATCAGAGAGGTACCCTGAGGACGCTGAGAGGCTACCAGGGGTCAGATGCCAGTGTCTGTGAATGTGGGGTGAGTGCAGCTGGTGCCATGGAGCATGCCCTGAGATACTTGTTGCTGGGTGAGCCCAGATGGAGGTGTAAAGGAGTAAGCAGTGAGCTAGACCCTGAGGTACCCACTCAGATTTAAGGTCAAGAATTCTCAACATGCAATTTCCTCGTGGACAATAATAGGGTAGGAGACTGCATAATTATGAGACAAGATGTGCAGTTAATGAGGCCAACAACAATCAATAAATTCCTTTAACAGGTATCTCACATTTACCCAGTGTCAATCTTGTCTCAACGCATGGACCTCTGTTTGAAAATGCAATTTGTTGCTCTTGAAGTCATGAGAGGGGGTGCCCTGTTACTGGTGGGTTTGGGATCAAATGCTCTTTCGTATTCCCACAGATAAAATCAGGTGCCGGTCCTGATGGGGTCGTTACAACACTCCTCGCATTATTAAAATCCACTTCCTGTTCACTGTGAACTCCTCCTGCAACATTTCCATCATCGCGTGGGGGCTAAATGATCCCCCTTTAAAAAATATTAAAGAAGAGACTGTGCAATGGAGACCACATGATTGAGGGAGAGACGGAGATACAGGCGGAGAAAGAGACTGAGATGTTGAGAGAGACAGAGACAAGCTCAAGGTGGAATCAAAAGGAGAAATCTAGAGACACAGGAACTGGGAAAGAGTAAGCAGGAAAGATGAATGTGGAGGAGAAATATCGAGAAAATGAAAATCTTTGAAAGACAGAGAAAAACTGTGGAGAGGGAAAGACCAAAATAATGAGGCAGAAAAGAGAAATTCCATTATTATTGTGTAGCAGCCGTGAAGACAGAAACAGGAAGAGGGTGCCTAGCTGTAACGTCCCCATCCAGTTTGTTTGTAGTTGCATCTATCTTAATCCCATTTACTCGCCTCACTTCCAGATCACTTTGCCTTAACCCACTAATCTTTACCATTTATGTTTCTTTCCACCTCTCCCCTCAACTTGCTGTAACTCCAGTATCTGGAAGAACTCACTATAACCTGGGCAGGGGCCTTCAGCCCATTCCATTGGAGGGACCTCCAAGCTGAGTCCAATTCTATCCTCATTAGTCTACACTCAGATTTACATAGAATGGTGAATAACCCAGAAGCAGGCCATTCAGCCCGAATAGTCCATACTGGTGTCTCTGCTTCATATAAGCTCCCTCCCTCCCACCCCAACTCCCATCTTACCTTATCAGCACACCTTCTATTCCCTTCCTCCTAATGAATTTGCCCAATCCATCTTTCTCTCTGTCACTGCAGCTCTCATCTTTGCTTTCCTTTCCTGCCATTAGTTGTAACATTGGTATCCCTGGTTGAAATCAACAAAACTAGCTCAGAGCAGAACCATTTTCAAATCCATTAGAAGCTACATTACACACATAGGTATAAATCTATACTAACTACATGCTCCTTTCACTTTGAGTACCTTCATTGCAACACTGACTCTGTTAAAATGCCAGAGTAAAATGTTTTAGATACCCCTTCCCCCTGCACCCCCCCCCTCCACACACACACACACACACACACACACGCACACACACAAAGTCTCTCTCGAAATTTCTTTCTGCACTCCAGGGAAGTTTACAAACTTCAGAATCCTAGCCAAGCTGTTCCAGTACAGTTACCACACTGGCATCAACCTGACAAAGTGGAAAATTGCCTCGATATGTGCTATCCACAAAAATCAAGACAAATCTACTACAGCAAATTATCATTTTATCAGATTACTCTTAATAAACAGCAAGGAGAAGGTGTCATTGACAGTCTTATCAAATGACATTTGTTCAGCAATAACATGCTCATTAGTGCTCAGTTAAAGTCCCACCAGGTCACTCAGTTCCTGACCTCAATTACAGCCTTGGTCTAAACATGAATAAAAAGCTGAATTCCAGAGGTGAGGTAAGAGTGACTGCCTGTGATATCAAAACAGAATTTGACCAAGTGTGGCATCAAAGAGCCTGAGCCAATGGGAACTGGGGGGGAAATCTCTCAACGGTTTGGAGTTATACTTGGCACAGAAGGAGATGGTTGTTATTTTTGGAGGGCAATCATCTCATCCCCGCACATCTCTGCAAAACCTTCTGTGCTTATATCTGCCTCACCTTCACTTTGTAACAGACCAGGTTCCTCACCATTTTTATTAGATATTAACTGGACACCACAAATCAAGAATTGTCTTTCAGTCAGTGAACAGGGCTATTAAGAATATGTTTCCAAGCAGTAGAGAGTTACCAATGTGAGATCTGCTCCATAAATGAGGAAAACATTGAACCAAGAGAACATTACACTGATTGGTCAGTTTGAAGAATGAAGTTTCAGTGAAGCTGGGCTGAAGAGTGAATTCTGGAGCCATGTATTGTGAAGGGATCCCATTCCTCCTCCCTGTGTGATGTTGGACTCAAGTTAGCAGTGTGTTGGGAATGAATGTAGTTAACACTCAGCTTGCTCATAGATGCTTCACTCGATGTGCTGCTGTGCCACATCGACTAAGAAAGATCCCAATTCAATCTCCAGCCTGTACTGAGTTAACTGATCACAAGCAGCGCAGCAGTAAACTGGGCCAAACATCTTACACAGTCAACACTCAAAGTGTGCTCACACTAACACTCACACCCACTATCACACTCACACATCACACCCTTCATCACACACTCACATCCCTCATGCTCACACACACACACTCTGCACCTTCACACACACACACACACACACACATATACATTTACGCACACATCCCTCACACACACACACACACCCACACACACGTACATTTACACACAAATACAGTCTCTCACTCTGGCGCACACACGCTCTGAAGTAGCTCACAGTCACTAACTCGTTGAAGCACACAGATACACAAACTCTCATTCTCTTTTTCTGTGCACACCCACAAACTGACAACATTTCAACTTATCTTCCATAGAAAAGTAAATAATGGCATTTATCTATTGACAGCGCTAATCTCCTGTTGGATTTTAATGAATGTTGAGTGAGTTCGGAAAGGATTTTAAGCCCAAATGACGCAGAGAACTCCTTTTGACATTTATTTATTTTTTTAGCTTCCGGCGTGCTTAACGAGGAGACACGTGAGTCGGGGACTGTATAAAACGGGCCGAGAGCGCGGAGACTGAACCGCAACTGGGAGCCGCTTCTCAAAATCAGCACCTTGGACAGATAGACGGAACTGAGCTGGTGAGCTGCGCACAAACTTTCCTCCAATTCTCTCGCTCACACTTTCTCCCACTCCATTTCTCTTACTTTCTCCTTTCTCTCGGGTTTTTTTTGTGTGTTGTCTTTATTTTGTCTTTGGTTCCGTTATAACTGCCCCAGTAATTTCGTAGTTACTTCTCCAGGGAGAGATCTCTCCCTGTCCCCATGCAACTTCACTCCGTGTAACCTCACTGGGGGCTGAGTGCACGCTTCAATTTCTTTAATTTCTCCTGGACGGGCTCCTTATGCCACACCCGGCAGGAGCTGAGCTTGAGAAATGATGCTTCCAGCAACAACAGAGGTTGCAATATACCCCGGGACAGCAATGTGAGCTGAGTAAACTTTCAGAAAGTTAGACAGCAAATGGTTCAACTCTCAGTTTAGACTCAACAGCATAGCCTCAACCATGCGCGAGTGTAGCGCTGAGGGAGCGCCGCACTGCCGGAGGGTCAGTGCTGAGGGAGCGCC